ACCACTCCCTTAAGCATTAAGCCTTCAGGACAGTGAGGTTCTGAACTCCATCGACTAATCTTAGAGACAAAGCCTCAGGTCTGCTGATCACAGAGACAGAGTTTTGGTCAAATAGAGATAATATCTAGGCTTCAGCTGGGTTTCAGCTCCAGGCCCAGAAAAGCAGAAAAACAGGCAGAGTGAAGCCATGGCTGACATCAGGACCAGCTGTGTTGACTAATGACTCACTGCCCTGGGGCCAAAGGACACACCCCAAACCTGATGAAGGTGCTACTGAGATCCTCCCCCACCTCCCCTTGGGTCCCCACCTTTGGAAATTGTGTGATAAAAGTCCTCAAGACAAAAGGCTCAGCTCCCTCTCTCTCTTGCCTCCCCCTCCCCCCTCCCTCCCCCTCTTCCTCTTCTCCTTCTTTCCTTTCCTCTCTTTCTTCCTCTCCCTTCTTCTCTCTAAAATCAATTAAAAATAATATTTTTTAAAAATCATAAATTTTACAGTGAAAAGCAAAATCAGAGATCATCTTATTCAAGCTGGTTATTTTACAAGAGAGAAAACTAGGTTTCTAATTCTTTAACTCAGTAACTGGTCACTAGAGTGACCACTCAGGGTTTTAGTGAGGATGACGGGAGATCGTGCGTGTGGCGACCGCAGCACAAGGCCCGCAGGTGGCGGAAGCTCAGTTGCAATGGGGCCTTGCTCACGTCGTTGTGACGCCATCTGCTGGCTCATTGATGAATTGCAGCTGCAAAGAAAAGGAGATTCTATGAGCAGAGAGCATAACACGTCGTGTATTTGGCAAGAATTTCATGTGGGTCCTAATAACATGGGTGTCTCATGAAGCCCTACTCTTCCTTTACAGCCAAAATTAAAAGGAGAAGGAGGAGGATGAGTGATGATCTCGCAATGAACACATATGGTAGTTACCTTTCAGGGACATATGAAAATTAATCATCTTTATCATACTGTAATCCGTGTCATTAACTAATATTATAATGAACATTTGGACTTTACATGGACTGGGATGGGGCACTATGAGCCCATTAGAGACCTTGGTGAGCATAAGGAAAAGCCGCCCCCCCCCTTTGGTGGGAGCATCCCTGGGTGTTCAGGCCATGACAAGCCAGGGGAACAGGGACTAGCTTTGAGCAGATACCCCCTTGGGCGGGGTGCAACCAGCACAGCCGTGTGCAGAAGCCCTGGGAAGGAGCCTCACAGGTCTTTCAAGAACGGCAATCATGGGGTGGTGGGAAGATGGTGGCCTTGACATTAGTAGATGGGGGTCGAATCCTTTCTCCATTATTTATTAATAATGTGACCTGAACAAGTTACTTAAGTTCTCTAGAGTTTGTAACATAGAGACAGTAATATGAATCTTGAGTAACTGTTGTCAGACATAGGAAGTGTGTCCAGGGCCTGGCCCACACTAGATGTGGTTGTTATCACGTAGGAAGTGTAACGTTCTTGTTCTGTGAATGAGGAGATGGTGACCACGAAGGGGCTAGGCTGCACCCGAGGCGTATGAACACGTCCCCCATTGACCTGCAGCCGGCATCATAGTTGCCTTGAAGCATTAGGCAGGAAGTGAGTTTAGTGATTTTTTTTTTTCCAGGTATGGAGAATAATATAACCATCTCAATGGGCTCTGAGTGTGAGATTTTACTTTTATACCAATTATATACTTACAGCTCATTCTGGTGATTTTGAAAATCAGAGTTACTTTTTAAAATAAAATTTATTTCATATTTAGACCATGTCATATTAGCAGCAGGAAACCTTTTAAGTACAATTTTCGGGGAGATTAATAGTCTGTGAATCACCCTAGTCACTTTGTAAGAGGGAATGGAGGGGAGCCCCAGGACACCTGTCCCCTCCACTCCCCCAGGGCAGGATGCTGCGCAGACACCAGGTGAGGCTCCTGGGCTGCTAAGGCAGGTGGGGAGATTCCGCAGCAGAGCCTGGGCATGGACCAGGTGAGCTGGAGTGAGCGAGGACTTGGTGGACACTCAGGGGTCTGCAGCCAGTAAGATGCAAGATGAGGACGAGACTTCCGGCAGGGACTGAACATTTCACGGATTATTCCAGCCTCGGACAGTGCTGGGGAGGCTGGCAGGGCAGCAGTCAGGGGACAGGAGCCAACGAGCTCAGCCAGTGCACCCCGCCCAGAGCCCGCAGGAGGCCAGGGGACATTCCAGAAATTGGGGGTACTATATGTGTGTGCATGCCCCCCTCTTCCATGACCTGAGAGCCACCTTCAGGAGAAAGGCGGGTACAGATAAGAAAAATGACGAAGCAGCCATTTTATCCCAGGAAGGCTTAGCACTACCCGGAGAGTTAGTATAAATGATCAGATCAGGTTGAATTCAAACAGAACTGGGCATCTGTTATTATTTTTTGCTTATTCATAAAATGACTAGACAAAATAAAGGAGCTATATTTTCTCTACACCCCTGAGTGGTCATGCGAGTGACTGGTGTTGACGTGATTTTCTCCAGCAACACTGCAGCTGTACCTGATGGGTCGTGGTTTAAAACTTTTAAGGTTTGACAGACACTTCTGGAACTCTTGAAAACCGTGAACGCGCGCTGCCAGAAAAATGCACGCATGCACAAAAGCCCGAACTTCGACTCCTTGGAACACGCCCACCTTGATTAAGGGTACCATCTTTGTAAGGTAATTCTGTTATTAGGAGCAAAACCAAACCCATCTGTCCCTATGTGACAGTCTGCACATACCTGGGGCCGTGATCAGGTTGACGGTTTGGCTGGGCTAAGGGTTTAGGGCCCTGTCATCCCCAGCGGCTTGGAGAAGGAAATCTCTGGAGGGCAGTGAATTTTGTCTGTTCATTGCTCTGCTCCCAGCACTCAGATCAGTTTCAATACTTGTTGAATGAATAAATGTACCCAGATTCCCAGATGGTCATCATATAAACTGTTGCCTAAGTTCTGTATTTATGTTATTGTTAATTAATTAATTAACTAATTAATTAATTTTGTTACAGATGTTTCTCTTTTTCCCCTGCAGACACCCTCCTCCCTATCCCGCTGTGTTATTGTTTTTAACTGTCAGCAGGACTTTATGTTGAACTTGCTAGGACATTGACATTTCCACATGTTCTGGGACAGCACTGCAGTCTGTCACTCATTTGGATCCATCGCCTGTTGAATTAGCGATCCCTTCCAGCCATGTGCCATCTGCATATCTGCTGAGTGACGTCAGTCCACTAACGAGTACTGAGCTGTGTCTGGGATGGGGGTAGAGGCCTGGAAGGGACAGATGGGCCCCACGGTGTGTCATAAGCAATTAGGACAGAGAGATGCCATGGACACTTCCTGAAGCTCAGGGTTAAGTGAAGGGAGAGTGGGTCCCATCAGGTGTCATGTAAGATGGAGCTAATTTGGGGATTAGATACTTTTACTGGGCATGAAGACAGGAGACCTGGGAAAGGATTCACCCCAGCTGGCATCACGGAAAAATGAATTAATAGGCTGTATACCTGTATGAGTGAGGGTTCTCCAGAGAAATAGAACCAACAGAATGTGTGTGTGTGTGTGTGTGTGTGTGTGTGTGTAAATAGACAGATAGATGGATAGAGAGAGAGAGATTTTAAGGAGTTGGCTCACATGACTGTGGAGACTGGCAAGTTCAAAATCTGCAGGGTAGGCTGGTGGTCAGGAGATACAGGGAAGATTTGCATTTTAAGTCCAGTGGCAATTGTTGACAGAATTCCCTCTACCTTGGGACTGGAAAGTCTTTTTCTTCAGGCCTTCAACTGATTGGATGAGGCCCACCCACATAGGGAAAGAAATCTGCTTTATTCAAAGTCTACCCATTTAAATGTAAATCCCATCCAAAAAATACCTTCGTAAAAACATCTAGAATAGTGTTTGACCAAATATCTGGGTACTATGGCCTAGCCAAGTTGACACATAAAATTAACCATCACAGTACCACTTAGGAAAACCCAACCCCCCCCCCCCCCAAAACAGCTGGGTTGATCCAACAGGTGAATGAGCTCTAATCCCACTGGGTATTCATGTGCTTCCCAGCCCTCCTTGTAATTTCACACCTGTGTCTTCTCTCAACCTTGACACATCCTGGAATGCCCTTCTCCAACCTGCTTCTTCCCCACTGGAAAAGAGCTACTCATCTTTCAAAGTTCAGCTCAAATGTCACCTCCGTGACACTTCCTTTAATTCCACATTCCATCCTGTAGAACTGGTTCCTTCCTCGGCCCTTTAAGTCTGTGCTATTATAGCACCGATCACACTGCGTTCCAAGTGCTTGTACATCAAACCACAGATTAGCAAAGTGGTTACAAATACAAACTCGGGCTCCAGCTTCCACGATTCAGTTCCTGACCTCGGCAATTTATCCAACCTCTCTGTGCCTTAGTTTCTTCATCTATACAGTGGAAATAAAGTCGTACTGACAGTCTATGGTTGCAGTGAGGCCCTAATGTAGGGAAAACTCCAAGAACAGTTTTCAGCATGTAGTGACCATGACAGGTAGTTATTTTCATTCTTAGTGTTGTTGTTGCTGATTCCCATGTCATGTGAAAAGATTCAGTGTTTCTGGAGGGCAGGGACATCAATGTGTCCCCCTTCACACTGTGTGGAATAGACCAGGGGTCCGTAGGCATCTTTTCGAATGTTCAGGGTCTTATATTTGTGGAATGCTCTATAATACTCAAAGGCTTGCAACATTATAGCCCATTAAAACCTAAGTACAATCATGTGAGGTCATTCTTATCCCCATTTTACAGATGCGGGAACTGCAAAGCAGACATTGAGGGAATTGTCCAATGTCACACGGCTGGCAGGTACAAAGTCTCCCCTTCAACTCTAAGCCCAAGGTCGGTGAGAGAGAAGGACAGAGATGCCCAGACACCACCCTTCCTCCTCCCATCTCCTTGTTCTTATTGCCCAGGTCACAGGTGTTCTGGACCGTGAAGCCTGCAAAAAAGATGAGGCCTCTGTTCCTACGACAGAACTGATTTCGGAAAGGGTGTGGCCAGGAGAAGGCTATCAATACAAGATGTCCTCTGCCGTGACGGTGGCCTCCTCGACTTTGGTCTTAATCTCTGGGAGGGGAATTTGACTGATGGCCACCACGACCAAGTTGGCAGCGTGGGCTGAGGCGCTGGCCACGCAGATCCAAAACGACTCCTCATACTGTTCTTCCACCACGACAAAGCGAAAGAGCCTCTCCTGAAAGTTGGCGATTCGTTCTGTCAGGTCGTGGAATTTCACCGCAGCCATGAAGCTGGTGATGGCCAACGCCACCACTCCACCTGAAACGCAAAACGATGACCCTTAGTGGCAGCTCCCTTTATGGAAGGTGGCATTTCTGTGGCACAGGCAACAAACTTGCTTTGGGTTTAAAAATCCTTAGGGTGTCCGGCTGGTGTGGCTCAGTGGTTGAGCATCGACCCATGCGCCAAGAGGTCGCCAGTTCGATTCCCAGTCAGGGCACATGCCCAGGATGTGGGCCCGATCCCCAGTTGGGGGGCATGCAGGAGGCAGTCAATCGATGTTCTCTCTCATCAATGTTTTTATCCCTCTCTCCCTTCCTTTCTCTCTAAAGTCAGTATTTTAAAAAATCCTTAGGGGGACACACATTTTAAATTGCTGTTTAAAGCAGCAGATAACCCACACAGTGGTGACGGAGAAAGAATAAGCTTCATATCAATTTTCCCCTCGCCTAATGCCATTCTGTCCAGGGTATCCACATTTGGATAACTTCAAACTCTAAATATCTTAGGATTTGGATGTCGCCCCTCAGGGTGATGTGGGAAGATATAAGAACATCTTATGGTGCAGCTTGGGGTTTCAACGGAGGGTAGACTGTTCTCTGCATTTTTTTTTTTTTATCCTCACCTGAGGACATTTTTGCATTTATCTTCAGATAGAGTGGGAGGGACAGCGGGAGGAAGAAAGAGAGAGAAACATCAATGTGAGAGATACATCAACTGGTTGCCACCCACACGACCCCAACCAGGGCAGGAGACAAACTGCAACCAAGGTACGTGCCCCTAGTGGGAGCTGAACCCGGACTCTCTGGTCTGCGGGCTGACGCTCTAGCCAAACCTGCCAGGATTGTTCTCCGCGTTTCATTGAGTCTCTTCCTATGCTCCGGATGAAGAAGAACAGATAAGAGGAGGAGGAACGGGGAGTAGGGATATTGGAAGGGCTCCAAACTCCACCTGTTCCCTACCTGTTGCTTCAAACTTTGATCTCTGTCTGTCTGTCTGTTCTCTCTCCTTTTCTACTGCTTTGATTTTAATTAATATTAAAAAAACACATTTACTATGCTCATAGTTTAGATTACTACAGCTTCATTGAAGAAAATTTGGATACCAGAGAAAATCATAAAAACAAAAATACAAATTTACTTTTATCCCAAAAGCCAGGTATAAACATTTTAGTATATTCCTTCCATTTCTTCATCTGGAACAAAATCAGTGTTATGGTGCTCTTACCTTTTTACACCTGATCCCCCCCTTACTCGAGCATTTTCCCACACTGTAAATACTCTGTTACAGTACCACTTTACACTGCTACCTAGTATTTTATCCTAGCGACAAACCTAATTAATTTAATTAAGTCTAATTAAGTGTGATCTTATTTCTGGGTATCTAGATTGCTTCTACTTTTTGACGGTAGAAAGTGCGGCAGTTAACCCCTTTTTACGAATAGCTTTGTGTTCTTTTCTAGTTATTTCATTAGCAAAAATCCCCACTGGAATTGTTTAATGAAAAGATATTCATCTGTTTATGCCTTTTGATGCTAAAGTTCTGTCAAAATGCCTTTTTTTTTTTTACTACTCTGGTCGGTGGAGCTTGAGAGTATTGTCTCTCTGAGGAAGGAAATGGACAGAGACAAGCTTTTACCTAAGAAGCAGGACTGAGCTCTTGTTACATGTCAACACTGTGTGGGTTCATGAACAGGACCCCGGAGTCCAGGCGTGGGCGAGCATGTGTAGAAGTGATTCTATAGGATGGCCAGTCTGCAAACACGGGTGAATATGTAGTAACTGACTTACTGACACTGCATTCAAATGTATGATCAAACAACAGTGCCTGTTTTTATGCCTCATGGTCACCTTGTGCAAGGTAAAGGTAGTGGAAGATTACTGCTGTAGTACATTGACTATTGGACCTGGGTTTTCTGAAATGGCCCTCATTTCTCAGAATTTTGTTATTTTCATTATGGATGATTTTTAAAGTTTGTAATTAAAACTGAATTGATTTCTATGTATCAGTACACTTCAAAATCAACACACACACACACCTCTTTTGTATTGGGGTTCGGCTTGGGAAATAGGTCACGATGACCATAAAGAAGACCATGAATTAGTGAAAAAGCAAAGGGTTTAGACTCAGTTTCACCTGGGTTGGAATTCTAACTCTGCTACTTATTGCTGTGTGACCTTAGGTGTGCCTTTTGACTTCTCCGAACTCCAGGCTCCTCATCTGTAAATATGGGTCTAATAATACTTAATACCACCTTATATGGAGGTTGTGAGGTTTAAACAAAACAGGCAGGTAAAACCCCCGGGTTTCTCCTCCTTTGCCATTTGTGAGGTTCCTCCCAGCCTCCCAGCAGCAGCTGCACACTAACTCGTGCACACTAACCATGTGCTTCTTTGTTGGGACAGAGCTCCTGCAGCGTTGGGTAAAGAGGACCTCCGTGCCCGACAGGAAGGTACGGGCCCAGGGAAGGCAGGCCGAAACACCTTCCGCCCAGTTTCTTGGAACTCAGCCTGGTGATGGTGTGGACACAAATTTCTCCCCCAGGGGCCTTCCTCACCCGCCAGGACGTTCCATAGGCAGATGCCTCCGGGGCCATTGACTGCCTTGTAGGGAACCTGGATCATGTTGAGAATGGCAAAGCCCATGCTGACCAGAGCCAGGGCCAGCGCCAGGAAGAGGAGCAGCAGAATCATCACGTGGAGGCCTGCGTTGAGTTCCTTCACCAGCTGTGGGAAGACTGAGGAGAGAAGACACGGCCATTATTTCAGTGCCAGAGCTGGTCTCACGTTCACAGGGCCCAAGCCTGCTTACCACGGAGGCTTTGATTAACAGAGGGGTGTGAGGGCCGGGCAGTAAGCGCTGAGTTTTCAAGGAGCAGGAAAGTCATGGCCCCCAGATCTGCCAGTTGTCAGTTGACCCACAATCCTCTCTTCCTTAGAGAGAATGAAAAATAAGAATGTTTCCTGGTTGGCAATTTAAGTTGCGTTGACCTTATAGCTCTGGAATCTGGTGTGATCTGGTGCAGATAAGCCCAGATGGCATCTCTTTAGCAAAGGAAGCTGGCGAGAGAGTCGGCGAAAGAGTGCTGATTGCAAAGCTTGAATCTGGGTCAGAGAGTTGCCTTCGTTAAATCAGAATTGGTCTCAGGCATACCCGTGAGGAGGGTAGCGGGGTGTAGCTGAGTGAAACCTAGATCTGGCATCCAAAGATCTGGGTTCAAATCGCAGCTTTGCTCATTTGCCACAATTGTAAAATAGGATCTTCTAAAGAACCCTGCCCCCATACTCATCTTACAAGATTGTCGAGTGGATCAAGCATGGGGTAATAATAGCGCCCTCTATTGGGCACTATGGGAAGCAAGGAGTATCATCCTGCATGCCTCATAATGACTGCAAGGTAGACATTATTTCCCTACGTGTGATGGACACTCAATCCTATGTTGCACAATGCTCTTTTAAAATGCCCTTATGCATGAGGCAGGATAAGTGAGGGAAATAGTCATTTGTATTTGTTTTGTCCATATTTGCCACCATGTCCTAGCTGTGAAGATTAAATGATATATCATAATAGAGTATTTTAAATATTGCCTGGGAGTCAGTTCTCCAAAAGGGTGGGAGTCAGTTTTCCAAAGGGGTGGCTGTGGTGTTGCTGTTACTTTTTTTACTCTCTGACTTGAGGAAAATCACGTGATTTCTCAGAGCTTCAGTTTCCTCATCAGCGCAATGGGGATAATAATACATGCATGGTGCCCGGCCGGTGTGGCTCAGTGGATTGAGCCTTGTCCCATGGACTGAGTGGTCCCGGTTCTATTCCCAGTCAGGGCGCATGCCCAGGTTTTGGGCTTGATCCCCAGCAGGGGGTGTGCAGGAGGCAGCTGATCGATGTTTTTCTCTCATAGATATTTCTATCTCTCTCTCCCTTCCTCTCTCTCTAAAAAAAAAAAAAAAAAAAAAAATCAATAAAAACATATGTAAAACGTAAAAAGATATTAAACTCCTGACTCCCATTCTTTATTTACAAAGTATACTTGCAGCCCTGACCAGTGAGCAGTGGTTAGAGCATCAGCCCGTGAACCAACGAGTCGCAGGTTCAATTCCGGTCAAGGGCATGTACCTCAGTTGCAGATTGTCCCCGGCTCTGGTCGGGGTCCTGTGGGAGGCAACCAGTCCATGTGTCCCTCTCACATCAATGTTTCTCTCTCTCTGTCTCCCTCCCTCCTACTCTATCTAAGGATAAATAGGAAAAAAAAAATGTCCTCGGGTGAGGATTGAAAAAAAAACCTGCATAGTGTATGAATTGAGGGTAATCAGCATTTACTGAGCACAGTCATGAGCCAAGCATTTTACATTTGTTGTGACAAGGATGTGAGGTTGATTTTATGAGCCCCTTATAAGCCCCTTTCCCCAAAGGCTTGGAGACTTTACATCCCTTATCTTTGGGCAAGGTGACCCTGAAGTCTATATATAGGGTTATAGTCTTGTATAGCATATGGTATACAGAGTTTAGATCACTGTTTTCAGTAGTTATAAATGAAAACTTTACAATGATGAAAACTACAGAACGAGGCATACCCACTCTTCTGCAACTGTCCTGAGGTTTCTACTGAACACTTCCTGGTCAATTTGGGGTCCATCTTTGAGCTCCAAACTCCCTCCTTCATCATGTGACACCTCTTTGTCCCTCAGGAGCCAGGACTTGAAGGTCTCCCTGTGGCATCTTTGCTGGCTCACGGCCTCCCTTTATTCAGGGCAGGTCGACGTCGCCCACGCCTGAGACCTAGTGGTTTTGGCCCGTCTCCCTTTAAAGTGTCCTCTCCACTCAGCAGTCCCCAGATACTCCATGCTCCTTCGTTCCGATCTCTCTTTCTGTCCAGTTCTGTTTCCATTTGCAGTTATCTCCACCAGGTTATCACGTCAGCATTGGAAACTTTACCCTGGAAAATAAACGTCTTTCCAAGGGATTCTCCTGTGTACGGTTTCTCTCTTCCTTCTCCTTCCCTTCCATCTCAGGGCCCCTTAGATTCTTTTTTTTTTTTTTCTTTTTACACCTTCAGCCCCTTTTTATTCCAAACATGGCAGCTTATGCCTGGTTACCTAACTGTTTCATTATCCCCTTTCTTGAAATGCAATCCTGAGAACACATGACTAGCTTCATAATCCTCACCAAACACTTAACAGAAAATAATCACCTATGCGATTGGCAAAGATAAAAAGTTTGCTAATACACTGTGTTGGTAAAGGTGTAGGAAAGACGGTGCTGTCGAACTTCGCAGGAATTTTAATTCATACACCCTCCTTGGAGGGCAATTTGGTAATGTCTATCAAAGCAATTTCATGAGCACACCCACCTGGGCGCAAAGCTGTCTATATCGGATATTCATCACGGCAGCAAAAGACTGGAGAAAAACCGAACCATGAAATTGCTAGTCACGTGTTCTCTGGTATATAAAAAAGATCTTAACTGATTGTGATGTGCAGTTGACATTTTCTCCCTGAAAGTTTATTGATTGATTGATTTTAGAGAAAGAGGAAGAGAAACATCAATTTGTTGTTCCACTTATTTATGCATTCACTGGTTGAATTTTTTATTTTTAATCCTCACCCGAGGATATTCTTCTATTTATCTTCAGCAAGAGAAACATTGATGTAAGAGCAACACATCGACTGGCTGCCTCCCGCAGGACCTCAACCAGGGCCAGGGACGAACCTCAATCGAGGTATGTAGCCTTGACCGGAACTGAACCCGAGATTCATTGGTCCTCGGGCCAGCACTCTGACTGCTGAACCAAATTGTCCAGGGCCATTGGTTGATTCTTCTATGCCCCCTGACCAAGATCAAACCCACAACCTCTGTGTATCAGGACGAGGCTCTAACCAACTGAGCTACCTGGCCAGGGCTACAGTTGACTAGCACAACATGCATTTGAACTTCATGGGTCCACTTACATGCTAATCTTTTTCATCTTGTAACCAGACAGTGTAAACTTACAGTATGGATCGATACAGTACGGTACTGGAAATGTATTTTCTCTTCCTTGTGACTTTCTTAATATTTTCTTTAGCTTACTTTATTGTAAGAATATAGTATGTAACACATATAACATATACAATATGTGTTCATCGACTATGCTATTGGTAAGGCTTCTAGTCACAGTAGGTACATTTTGGGGGGGGGTCAAAAGTTATACACAGACTTTTGATGTTGGGGGCATTGGCATCTCTAACCCCCATGTTGTTCAAGGGTCAACTGGATAAAGTTCTTTGGTTTTCTCTATAATTGGTTTGGAAATTGATTCTCTGGAGTGAGTTTCCTTTTAACATGTCTTTTATTTTGATTTTTTTGTTTGTGTGTGTGTTCAGTCTTTTGTTATTATTATTTTAAATTCTCACCCAAGGATTTGTTTTTTTAAAAATTTGAGAGAGATGAAAGAGAGAGAGAGAGAGAGGGAGACAGAGAGACAGAGAGACAGAGACAGAGACAGACAGAAAGAGAAACATCAATCTGTTGACTCCCATATGCACCCAGACCTGGGATTGAACCTGCAACCTTTTGATGTATGGGATGACACTCCAACCAGCTGAGCTACCTGTTCCTAACAGCTGTTTTTTCCAATATCCCCATTCCAATTTAATTGCTGGGTAAATGCAACTATTCCTAGAGAATTTTTCTTGAATACACATAATAAATATGTATTTCCTTCATGTATATAAATGATGTCAATTTGTATTAGGGTATTTGTCAATGGCCCAGCTTCTATCTTTATAAATTTAATAAGATAGTAACCCTGGCCAGTTTCCTAAGAACTATAATTCTGAAATATAGAAATCAAATAATGAATAAAATTCCATATTCTCTTGCATCAGCAATGTGTTGATGAATTATGACTTTGTATTTTATTTTATTTTTTATCCTCACCTGAGGACATTTTTCCATTTTTTTGTTCAGATAGAGCGGGAGGGAGAGAGAGGAAGAGAGAGAGAGAGAGAGAGAAACATCGACGTGAAAGGGACACATCGAGTGGCTGCCACCCGCACGACCAACCAGGGCCAGGGACAAACTGCAACCGAGGTACGTGCCCTTAGCGGGAACCGAACCCGGGTCTCTCTGGACCGCAGGCCAATGCTCTAACTGTTGAGCCAAACCGGCCAGGGCGATGAATTATGACTTTGTAGGACACTGTTCTCACCAGCGATCTAACAGATTCTAAAGCTTGCAGGATATTGCCTTTTTCTGTTTTGTTGTTGTTGTTGTTGTTGTTGTTTTGTTTTGTTTTCCTTCCCAGAAGACCCTGCATGAGCCAGTCAAGGAGCCCTGCTCTATTTACATCCAGAGCAGCTCTGATGTGACACTGGATGCCAGCCAAAGTTCCTGCCTGCCAGTGGACATCGGTGCCCGCCCCCGCTCGTGCCCGCCCACATTCACAGCCAGCAGCCTTGCCTGAAGTCTTCCGCCAGCAAACAGGCAAGCTGGGCTTTGAACCGGGGTAGTCTGATTCCAGAGCCCAGGCACCGAGCCCCTTCACTTTTTCTCAGACTTCCAAGCGTATAAACGAACAGAGGTGGAGGCAGCGGCCACACCCCCTGAGGCTCATTTCTGCAGGCTGTCTACTAAACCTGCGTGCTGGACGGCTGAGAGCACCCGAGTCCCCTGGCATGGCTCTGAGGTCTGGCTCTGCTCTTCCCTGCCTGGGTGACCTCAAGCAAGCTAGGCAACCTCTCCGAGCCTCAGTGTAGTCCTCTGCAAAATGGGATCGCTAATAATTCCTTCTTTAAAAATTCATTATAGGGTTTAAGAGATGAGTCAGGTGAAGCACTAGTAGAATGTCCTACACATGTAAGCACTAAATCTTTTAGTAGTTATTATTAATAGTGCTGAACTTAAAGGAATACAAACCCCTATTTAATGTTTCTATGAGCCTCTATGAGGCAAGAAAAAAAAAAAGTCCCTTCTTAGTGCTAACCAAGAACCTTTGGGCTAGTGAGGACTTAGCCATTGTGCTTAGAGAGAGGCAGAAGTGGAGTTCCACATTTAGACCTAAGCACCCTTCCAAATTTGAAAAAATAAGTGCTCTAAAACATCTTTCATGCCCCGAATATACTCACTCGTGAACTGGGACTGGCGGCCCCCCAGCCCGCACTGCCGCACCTTACACCCTCGGAAGAGTCCGTAGTAAATGTCCCCAATGAATTTGACCAGCTCCGGATCTGTGGCGTTGACCAGGTCCACTCCAGTCTGACAAAGGATTTTCCCACTCAGCCAGTGGGGCACTGCCAGGGCCACGATGATGAGGATGAAGGAGGAGAAGCTGAGTAAGGATGCCAGCCCGTACCACACCTTTTTGAACCATCCAGGCATTCTAGTGGGTGCAGGTCATCGCCCAGGTGTCTGAGCTGCAGTGGGGGCGGTTGACATCTTCTGGGCACTCGGCAATCCTCTGGTCCAAGGTCGGCTCTTTGAAACACACCATTTCAAGATCCCAAGTCCATCTCCTGGTCCTCCCTCGCTGCCTGTGTCCACAGCCCGTGTTTACTACAACCACATCAGTACGTCTCTGCAGAGACGGTCTTCACCTGACAGTGTAGAGGAGTGTGTTACTGAAGGAAGTAACCCTACACCTCCCACTAGACTAATGTTTCAGCGGAGGGTTTAATTGTTCCTCGTTTCAAGTATTTAAATAACCCTGGTGTAGACCTCTTCATGATGAGGACATTATTAGCAGGCAAAACCAAGTAGATATGACTATAAAGAGACACTAACAATTCTCAAAAATGCACATGGTGGAAGGAAAAAAAAGGGAATGAATAGCACTTGAGTATTGCCAGCAATGAATGGTATCAAATGTCCATCACTCTGATGCGTGCCTGGGCATTTCTTTCTCTAAAATGTCACCGCTGTCAGAATTCCCCAGAACTGTTATTAATACCACGAGATGACCTCTGTGCTGAAGGCTTTTAATTGAAATGTGTAAACAAGCTTTATTATTCTTGGATTTATCACTGGGTGAATCTGCAGCATGGGTCCATTTGTGCCTGCTGGGGCAGCCTGGCCCCCAACACTTACATTCCTCTCTTCTGCCCAGTCTGTCGTGTCACTGAAATGGAAAAGGAAAGTGATTCCCTAATGTGTTAGCAAATAATCACCCAGTTGGAGTTTCTTTTTCTTTTAATCTGCAGGAACTAGAGATGAAATATTCCCTAATTCCTATCTTTTTTTTTTTTTGGACAGAGTGGGAGGGAGAGAGAGGAAGAGAGAGAGAGGGAAACATCGATGTGAAAGGGACACATCGAGTGGCTGCCACCCGCACGACCAACCAGGGCCGGGGACAAACTGCAACCGAGGTAAGTGCCCTTAGCAGGAACCGAACCCGGGTCTCTCGGGACCGCAGGTGGACGCTCTAAACGCTGAGCCAAACCGGCCAGGGCCCTAATTCCTATCTTACACAGTATCTTTAAAATTTTGACTTTTAGTCAATTGCTTAAATGTCAACTTAATATGGTGAGATTGGCCACAACCACTGTCACTGGCTTTGGGGAGCGAGACTGGGCAGAGGGTCACGGAAAAATTTCTTTTTTGGTCACAGAAGCTTGGAGGAGGTTTGGGAGGTTTTCTAGGTAACCAACAGGAGTTTCCGGAAACTCATCTGGACAGCGCCAAGGAGGAAGAGGGACCCGGGGATGGACATGCCAGATTCCTTCCATGTAATGGTGGGTCTCTCCATAATAAACACGAAGAACAGTGCCTCCGAAGCTTCTGCAGAGCTGCTTCCACCTACAAAGGGTTTTCCATGTGCTTGCTCACCCTGGTGCTCAGTGACCCTCTGTGCTAGGCAGGGGATGCACTATTCCAGCCATTTCCCTCCTGAGAAAACTGGAGTCGGGTCTTTGACTGCAATAGCTTATCTTCACCACAATGACCTTAAACTAGCAAATATTTTTCTGGTAATAAGTAACAACATACATATAAAGGAGTGCTTGGCACATTAATAAGTGAACAAGAATGATGTTCTTATTTTAGCATTTAGCATGCTTTGTGAGGCAGGACACATGTTATACTTTTGCATCACATTTCGGCTCCAAAAGATGGACCTAGGTCAACTTTTGGTGTTTTAGAGGTTAAACAATTATTATTATTTTTTTAATCCTCATCCGAGGACATTTTTCCATTTTTTGTACAGAGTGGGAAGGAGAGAGAGGAAGAGAGAGAGATGGAAACATCGATGCGAAAGGGACACATCGAGTGGCTGCCACCCGCACGACCAACCAGGGCCGGGGACAAACCGCAACCGAGGTACATGCCCTTAGCGGGAACCGAACCCGGGTCTCTCTTGACCGCAGGTGGACGCTCTAACCGCTGAGCCAAACCGGCCAGGGCTAAACAATTATTTTTAGACAAATTCTATGGGAGAAACTGATTCTCAACAAGCCCTGTCGAGACAAGCGGAAGCCGTGGTTAAGCAGAACTACCGAAGGCCTAGATTCAAATTCCTGCTCTTCTGGGCAAGTGCCTGGGACACTCAAGACTCCGTTCCCTAACGTGTTATAGGGTTGTTGTACGAGGCAAAATAAAATAGCACACGCAGAGCACTTAGCATAGTGCGTGGCATAAAGAGGGCCCTAGATAACTGGAGTTCTCCCCATCCAGTCTTCTAGCAAATCTATTTCTGGTTAATGAAGTTTCTGATAATAAAATCAGGTACAGGATGCAGCCTGTTCTCTCATGACCTATTTCTGCATGTCTTATCTGGCACAAGCATATTGTGCAAACATCTGTGTACCTGCTGGGTACAAGGTCCTGTGTTTGGGTGGAGGGTACACAAAGATGTATACATACACAAAGATGTATAATGTGGGATCCCGCTGTCAAGGTTACAAGAGTTAAGACAGTGATTTTCAACCAAGGGTGATTTTGCCTCCCTGCTCCTGGGGGACATTTGGAAATATCTAGTGATATTTTTTTATTGTGATGACTGGAGGGGTGGGGTGCTGCTACTGGCATCTAGGAGGCAGAGACCAGAGATTCTGTAAACATCCTAAAATGCACAGGACAGCCCCCCCCCACAATGCCTGCACAAAACCGACAGGGCTGCGATTGAGAAACCCCGTATTAGGGGCACAGGCCATGGGCAGAAGTGAACTAATAGACAAGAGAGAAAATGCCAGGCTCTGTTGGTGGGGCAGGTGGTGCCATTTGGTGAGGGCTTACATACAGTCACAGAGGTCCAAGGACAGTATTATAGGACTTTACATCATTGAACTTGTGTCCCTACAAGACGAAAGGCCTGTTATGTACTCCTATTTTTAAGCTTGTAATCATTATCTATGGTATTCTTTTTATTTTTTATTAAAAGCCTTAATTTGTAAAGTATAAACACTTAAAATATAGTATACTACAATTTTCGTATCAGTCGTTTGGCAATTTTTAATGCTTAACTATGCCCCCAAATAGATATTTAAATATCCCCCCTCGCACTCCCCAAATGCAGGAAGCCTGGAACTCACAATCTCTGAAAGGCCCAATGAATTGTAAGAGAGGTATTGGCAAAAATGACAATGTTAATAACGCTCAATCGGCATTCACTGAGCTCCTACTACTAGTCACACACGCTCTAATACTCTAGTGTTAGCTCTTTAAGAAAAAAGGAGAAACATCTGTAACAAAAATAAATTAATAAAAAAATAAAAGAAATCCTTTCCGAAACCCTAGGAAGATAGGCCATTAGTTTTCCCATTTTATTGGCTAGGGGACTGAGACTATCAAACAGGGTGGCCGGACAGTATGCTTCACTCTGACTTAGCGGAAAACTAGATTATACGTGGTTGGTCTTATCTCGCAAACAGACTCATTCTCTTGGTGCCGAGATGATGGCGGGGGCCACCCGCACTCAGCCCCGCGCTCTGCACGCCCAGGGTGCCCGGAACCTGCCGGCAGGCGGCGGTGCTCGGCCGATGGACCCGCCCCTGGGCGGGCCAGCCGGGTCCCAGCGCGGCCGAGAGCGCCCGCCCCGCTCGGTGGCCGTCCTCGCGGGGCGCGGCCGCGCGCTAGGGGGCAGCAGTGGGCGCAGCGCGGGGCCGGCCGCCGCGCGGTCCCTCCTGGCTGGTTGGCTGGCGCGCCGGGGCGGGGCGCGCAGGGGCGGGGCGCGCAGGGGCGGGGCGCGCAGGGGCGCGGCGTTCGGGCTCCGGGCGTTGAGCTGCGGGCCGAGCGCGAGGAGCGGGAGCAGCAGGATGGCGGCGGCGGGCGAGGCGCGCCGGGTGCTGGTGTACGGCGGCAGGGGCGCGCTGGGCTCCCAGTGCGTGCAGGCGTTCCGGGCCCGCAACTGGGTAACTCCGCGGGCTGGGGGCGCGGGGCTCCCCCTGGTGGGGCGGGCTGGGGGCGGGCAAGCACGATGGCCACTGGGGTGCTGGGGGCCTTCTGGTGCATCCTGGGAGGGCATGCTGGAGGAAGCTGGGACCCCGTGCACCCCCACACGTGGGTGCTTGAGAGTGCAAGCAAAAGTCGGCACGTCTGTTCCTGCCTCCGAGTACTTGCCCACGCCGGCCATAGGCTCGGGCCTTTGCTCTGCAAGGAGAGGGGGGGCTGCCCCTCGGACTCCGCTGGGCCCCCAAAGGCCGGGCATGACTCAGGAGAGAATTCCAGAGGAGGAGGAACAGGAGCGCAGGTGAAGGGGCCAGGAAGGAGAAGGAGAAGGAAGGACTGGGAAATTGTGCCGCCTTACTCTGGTGACTAGTCCTGTTATGTGCTCCTATGAACTGATTGCTGAACTTCCACACACCTGTTTCCACGTCTGTAAAATGGGGATTATGATAATATTTGCCCTCTGGGGAGTGGTCTGAGGATTAAATAAGATAATTGGTGCCCTAGTGTGTAAATTACCTGACTCCAGGTCAAATGTTAGCTATTATTGATGTATTTATTTTGTATATTGAAGGGGTTCAGAAGAGGCCTCCCCAAAATGAGCTACTTTGGTACATGAATTATTTTTAGCTGAAGGCAGTAGAGAACTTGTGGGTTCAAGAGAAACGTTTACCTTTCCCTTAAAAAGTTTAAATGAGGGGCCTTACCCATAATATGAGTTATTACCAGAAATATATTTTTAGGACCTATCTATAGGGCAGTGCAAACTTCTAATAACTAATCATCTGCTTTTTAATGCCCTTTAAATGACCTTTCTCTCTTGTGAAGCACCAAGGCACCTTACCTCATCCTTAGCTGAGACTGTCATATGTACTTTATTTTAACTTTCTGCCTCTACCCTCTCAAATATGTGGGGTTCCCATATGTACGTATGTAATTAAATTTGGTTCTCCCCCCCTCCCCTTTATTGATTTTAAAGAGAGTAAGAAAGAGGGAGAGAGAGATAGAAACATCGATGAGAGAGAGCATCTATCCGTTGCTTCTTGCATGCTCCCCACTGGGGTGGGGCCCAAACCTGGGCATGTGTCCTGATCAGGAATCAAAGCAGCGACCTCTTGGTGCATGGGTCCACTCTCAACCACTGAGCCACATTGACCGGACAAATTTGGTTATTTTCTCTTGTTAATCTCTCTCATGTTGGTTTCATTATTTGACCAGCCAGAAGGATCTAGAAGGGTAGAGAAATGTTTCTTCCTCCCCCGTTATTAATAATTGACCTGTACCCCTGTTCCTTTAGCCTCCTTTGGACCCGATACTTAGAGGTCTGGGCCTCTCGAATACTGGTGACTTCTTTGTTTTGCTGTCTATTTCAACTACTCTGCATAATCAGATTTTCACTCTCTGGAGGCAGCTGGTAGGAACTGAGCTCGTCTCAGGCCAGGAACCCTGACTCCAGCCTCCCAGCAGGGATCAGCACATTGCCCATGGAGACTCTGCCCTGTGTCTTCCTGCTGCAGCTGTCACTTGCTCAAAGTCCACGCTGGGGAGTTTTCCTGAGGGCTCAGTTAGCAATAGCAGCAGCACCGGGGTGAGGGTGCCCTGAGACCAGAGGGAGAGAGTCCCAGGGTTTTCTTCTGGCTCAGAATCTGGTATAGGAATATCCTTCTAAGGGATTCTAAATGCACCACCGCCTTCCTGCCGTACACCTGCTCTGGAACCTAGCGGTCTGCATAGATGGAAGGTGGTGACAATTGTAACGTTTAAGGACTTCCAGCCAAGGGCCAGGCATTGTGTTCCTACATACCAGATCCCTTACATTCTCTTAATTTCTTTTACTGTACGTAATAATCTTACTAGAGTAGTCCTGTTGGCATCCGCATGTTACAGATGCAAGGGCTGTGCATGTCTCTGGTGGGGGCACTTGCCCCTGATGGGGGCACTTAGTTTACCTTGGATTTGGCTGTGGAATCTGGTGGACTGGTTTACCTTTGACTGTCCCCACCCCCTTCATTCCTGGGAGCTCTGGGATGGAAACTTTTCTTTGTCTCAGTATCTCTCATGGCTGGTGACAGAAGTAGTGAGCGTTCTTGAATGGATGCTGTGTTCTTCAAAGCTTGTGGGAGAGAACTCTGTCTCTGGGGCCATCAGACCTCAGGGCCCTGGAGCTTTCTGAGTAAGAACCATGTGTCACCTGTGCGGGTGGCCATAGTCTCCTCTGTTTCACTTATTTCTCATACTCACCCTGTTATTGCGAATCCCCACTTCGCAGGTGAGGACCGTCTGCAGAGCACGAGCTCCCGAAAGCCACTCTGTGGCAGAGGCAGGATTCAAACCCAGTCGGCCTGATTCCCAAACCCAAAGCCATCCCCCTGTGTCTGGGGCAAGGGTCCAAAACTCTCGTCCTCCATGAGCCAAATCCAGCCTGCCGTCTGTTTTTGTACAACCCAAGAGCTAAGACCGGTTTCACATTGTTAAACTGTTTAAAGAAATCAAAAGAGGAATAATATCTTGTGACATGAGAAAACTGGTATGAAATTCACATTTCAGCGCGTGACGTTTTATTGGAACACAGCCACGGTCGTGCGTTCACCTGTGGCCTGTGGCTGCTCTCCTGTCACAACAGCAGAGTTGAGTAGTTGCAACAGAGACTGTAGGTCCTGCAAAGCCTAAGATATTTCCTATCTGGCCCTTCACCGAAAAAAATTGCCGATCCCAGTCGAGGGCGTCTCTGGAAGTGCAGGGTTTGGCTTTCAGGAGTGAGAGTGGAAGACGAGGAAAATGAGTTTGGAGGTGGCGGGGGTGGGGGTGAGGCTGGGCTAGGGTAGGACAGGCCGGCTCAGGTCAGTCCTCCCTGAAAGTAGCTAGTGGATTTTCCCTTAAACCTCTCATCTGCCTCCACTGCCCCTGTTCTGGGCATGGATCTGTAAAGGAATAACAACTCATTGTGCCTTGACCAAAGCTGTTTTCTTCTTGACTCCAGTGGGTGGCCAGCATCGACGTGGTGGAGAATGAAGAGGCCAGTGCCAGTGTCGTCGTCAAAATGACAGACTCGTTCACCGAGCAGGCTGACCAGGTGATCCCAGCAAAGGCCCCACCAAGCCCGGGGGCGGGGCGCCCTGGGGAGAGGTGTCCACTGGCCACGTGCTCTTCCTTTGTTCAAGTATCGTTTCTCTAATTAGGAAAGCCATGTGCACCCATTGAGGAAAATTTGGAAAAAGTGGGAAAAAAAAAGTACGGTGAAGATAAATTACTCATAGTCTGTTTCTAGTTAGCTGACTGTTCACATTTTGGCCCATTTTCTTGTCTTTCCTATGGATATGATACGTTGTTAGTGTTACGAGTTGAGATGATGTATTTATATTTTATGGACAGCTTTTTAAAAATGTAAATACATTTTATTTAATTGCAGTACTTCTTCAGGTCACTTAAACTCTCTGTGTCCACGAGTAATTTTTAATTTTGTGCCTCTTCAGGTCACTTAAACTCTCTGTGTCCACGAGTAATTTTTAATTTTGTGGATTGGCCACAGTTTTCTTAGTTTCCACATGTGCATTTAACTGTTTGGCAATTTTAAAATTTTTACCATTAATAAGACTATTGGTGCAAACGTCTTTGTCCCCATCTCTGATTATTAATTTAGGGTACTTTCTAAAAGGTGGAGCTCCCTAGTTCAAAGCAAGGATACTAACAAAACAGATTATTTTATTTCGAATTATAAAATGATGTGCTTATTGTAAAACAAGAAGTCAAACAAAACTCTGTAAATGTATCAGTCAGTGGTGAAGTACCCCTGTGCCCCGAGACAGTGTCCCTCCCCAGACGAAGCTCCGTTAACAGTGTGATGGTATCAGTAGCCGAGATGCTCGTAAGTGGTTCCCACCGGCTGCCTGGAGGATGCTTTCTGTGGCTCTCCGGCCAGCGCTCCAGCCCACATTCCCCAGGAAATGACATCCTTTTTGTGTGATGGGCCACATTTACACAAGCACTCAGTGAGGCAGGCGGGCGGAGGATGGCAGCCCCATTTATAGCCAAGGGGACTGAGTTTCAGACACTAAGGGACACGGTGGACCATCTAGCTAGTGGTGGGGTCTGGAGCATGATCTCCTATCGAGAGACTTGTTAACAACTCATTAACAACTTTAATGAGTTACGCTCTCCCCGGTAATCTGAACATCTGAACATAGTTGGGGATTCGATGTTTGTGGCCCTCAGCTATTTTTTATGACACATTTAAAGAATTTAAAAAGTGATATATGTATGATGCAGGAAGTATAGTAAAACCAAAAGGGGCACAGTCATGTCTCGTGCCACTGCAGTTAATGTGTTGAGTGATCTCTTTACACTCTTTCCTCCAAACATGCACATGAATGCATTTAAAAATTTTAAAAATGAATTGTAAGCATAGGATTTGCTCACTCAAGTTTTTGAAAAGCATCAGTTTGACTTAGGCTAGAATATAAAAAGCCAGTCGCCTTACTCAGAAGATGGATTATTATTGTTCTTACCTTTTAATTAAAAAAAAATTAGTTTTAGACAGAGAGGGAGAGAAACATTGATTGCCTCCTGTACTCAGGGATCGAACCCGCAACCTGGGTATGTGCCCTGATCAGGAATTGAACTGGCAACCTTTTGGTGCATGGAATGACTCTCAACCAACTCAGCCACATTGGGCCAGGGCCTTTGTTGTTCTTACTTTTCATCATATGGTCCTGATGTTTCCTGTACTATTGGCTTAAATGGGCTGAACAGGAAAGCCTGAGATGGCATTGTTATGTGTCAGGCCCGGTTCTGAGCGCTTCATTCACATCAACTTGTTGAATGTCTGTAACAGCCCAGAACAAAGTTTCTAATTTATCTTCCTTGTAGAAACGGGGAGTCTGAGGCACAGAAAGGCCCTCGTATTTGCTCAAGGTCAAACAGGCGGTAGGTGACACAGCCAAGATTTGAACCGGGGCAGTGGGGGTTGGATGTCTGCTCTCCTAGCTGCATGCTAAGCTGCCTGGTGGCAAAGCAGCTCCATGTGAATAAAGTAACAGAAGCTAAAATTAAAGGCAAGGGGAGCTCTGGGCTCTGATAGCAGGCGGGGCAGTGTGGTTCCCTGCAGTCAGGGCTCTCCGCTCTTGTTAGTTGCAGGCACTGATGTGTGCTTTTTGAATGGGAACTTGTCCGTATCTGAGACTTGACTCTATAATGCTTTTAAACTCTTTAACTGCTTCTACCGCTGTCCGCTGTATTAAATACATTTAATACATGTATTAAATGTATAAATGTATATTTATACATTTAAGAATTTCTGGACAGCAGCATGACATCCAGTTTTTGTTTGTAAAGCTCTAGAAGAGGAAATTCAAGCCTGATACATGTCACATTGACCCCCTGGGCAGGAATTCCCTAGTGACAGTGAAGAGATGCAGCGGTGAGGAAGGCCGGAGAGCTATAGAAAACTGTTGGGCAACAAGCAAAGTTTAATGGGGAGGAATTAAAAAATGGGTAGGTGTTAAAAAGAAAAGTTATACAGGTGCTTTTTCTGCTATGGGCTCCAGGCTTTCATAACAGTAGGACATATGTCAGGGAGGTGACCCAGCTTCCTGCAGCTGGGGTCTGTGCTCTTGGCAACAGGACATGGCTTCAGAATGAAGGGAGGGACCAGCCAGGGAACCAGATTAGGGGAGACACTCGTGAATAGAGGCCAAGGGACTTCAGGAATTTCTTGAAAGAAAGTTTTAGGTGTGGGGTGTAGGGAGAGGAGAGATTGGTTTCCTCTGCCAAAGCAGTCTCTTTGAAAGAGTAATTGGAGGCCTCAGGTGTTGCTGGGGAAAGAGGGCAGGGACTGGAATGTTGTGCTGAGACAGATACATTGTCTTTCTCTAAGTCTTCCTTGTGATAAGTCTTCAGAAACTTGATCCTAAGGAAGCAATTGGGAGGGTTCATCTCAGCCCTTCCAGAGAAACAGGGAAAAGGGTTGATGGCCAGAATGCCTCTTGCCAGACTTTTTTTAAAAATCCTCATGCGAGGATATTATTTTTTCATTTATCTTCAGAGAAAGTGGGAAGGAGGGAAGGAGGGAGAGGGAGAGGGAGAGAGAGCAAAACATCAAAAGGTTGCCTTCTGCACAACCCTGATCAGGACTGGGGACTGAACTGCAACCAAGGTACGTACCCTTGACCGGAATTGAACCTGCGACTCTGGTCCTTGGACCAACGCTCTAACCGCTAAGCCAGACTGGCCAGGACCAGACTTTTGTTTTAATAAATTGTAACTGAAGGACATATAAATATTTTCAACACTTTAAAATTTTCAGTCAAGCAGAAATAGATAAATAAAATGTCTGTATTTACCAACATTTTGCCATCGACTGTATTTTTGTTATTGCTTTAAAAAAATATTTTTTCTTTGGCATTTTCTTTTGGAGTTGCATTTCAAGGGATTTTTGTACTGGGGGAAGAGTAGAATTATCTCAGATCATGATCCTGTGATTTGCAAAGTCTGGAGAGAAATATGCCAGAAGATATAGCTCTAGTCATTGAAGCCCTAGGTGACTCTTTAAGCCTTTTCCTACTTTTTATTATTATTATTATTTTTATTTTTTTTAACTTTAGAGAGAGAGAAAGGGAGAAGGAGAGGAAGAGAAGCATTGATTGGCTGCCCCCCTGCAACCCAGGCATGTGCCCTGACTGGGAATCGACTTCTTGGTGCACAGGACCACGCTCAACGAACTCAACCTCACCAGCCAGGGCAAACCTTTTCCTACTTTTTTTTTTTAAATCCTCACCTGAGGATATTTTTTTCATTGATTTTTTTTTTAGATAGAGTGGGAGGGAGGGCGAGGGAGAGGGAGAGAGACGGAAAGAGAAACATTGATGTGAGAGAGACATGCATGACCCTGACCGAGGCCGGGGACTGAACCCATGACCCTTTAGTCCATGGGCCGATGCTCCAACCACTGAGCAAAACCTGCCAGGGCTTTCTCCTACTTTTTAAATTAATTATTTTATTCCAAGGATGCTTATAGCCCCACACTTTAGAATGTTCAAAAGAAGATTCTAGATTGCTTTGTAAAAATTACATTGGCATACAGGTGGGCTTTACTCTCCAAGGTGGTTATCATAGGTTTTTCCTACATCTGGTTTTCAAAATGTTAACTGCCAGGTACTGTTAACTACCTTAGAAGAAAGTGAAACGTGAACTGAAGTGTCCGTGAAGCTGTCAGCCTGCTGGGGTTTACCAGGCCGTTTATGCATCTCTTTGTCCTTTTCGGTGAAGGTGACTGCTGAGGTCGGAAAGCTCTTGGGTGAAGAGAAGGTGGACGCAATCCTGTGTGTGGCTGGAGGATGGGCCGGGGGCAATGCCAAGTCCAAGTGTGAGTCCTTTCCTGAGTTGATCATTCACTCCGCTCTGCTCTTTGTCCTGCGGGGCAGGGACTGGGTCAGTGCCGTGTACCAGATGTTTTCCTGTGCGTCTGCCAGAGTCTGCGGGAGCTCTGTGCGGTCGAGACAGACACCCCGCTTACAGACGAAGAAGCAACTTCCCATAAAGGCCATCGGGGGAGGGGGCATTGAGTTGGAAGTTTAGAGGCCGAGCGAAATCAGCATTATCCCCGCCCCAATCTTACAGGGCTTGGTACTGGGAATCAGGGCACGTGTTTGAGACAGAGAGATCGTTTGCAGGTCGGATTCGGGCCTCCCAGTGGAGCTTTTATTAATGCCGAGGACATTTTCCAACTTTTTATTATGAACATTTGCAAACACACAGAAAAGCTGAAAGAGTTCAGGGAGCACCCGTCACCCTCCGTCTAGACCCAGGGACGGCTGACGTTTGCCTCACGTGCACTCGCTGGCTTTCCCGCGTGTGCTCTGGGCGGCTGTCTTTGTTAACCACTTGCAGGTAAGTTCACACTTCACCGATTTCAGCCACATCCTGCATTGTCATGCGTTCGTGCATCCTCCTTTTCCTACTTTATCATAGTACCCTTATTGTAGCTAAGAAAATTGACAGTGATTCTGTAAGATTGATAATATCCAACTCCTATTTGTTGGATATTTTCTTTTTTTTTTTTTTTTATTTTCTTTTTTTTTTATCCTCACCCGATGACATTTTTCCATTTTTTGTACAGATAGAGTGGGAGGGAGAGAGAGGAAGGGAGAGACAGACAGAAACATCGATGTGAAGGGACACATCGAGTGGCTGCCACCCACACAACCAACCAGGGCCGGGGACAAACTGCAACCGAAGTACGTGCCCTTAGCGGGAACCGAACCTAGGTCTCTCCGGACCGCAGGCTGACGCTCTAACCGCTGAGCCAAACTGGCTAGGGCGGATATTTTCTTTTTTTTAATATATTCCAGTTAGGGTTTATGCCTCGTTCTGTTGTGGTTTTTAGTCTCTAGAAATTTTTTTTTTTCTTCCTGCGATGGACTTGGTGAGTCAGGGCAGTGTTCATACAGAATGTGTCTCACTGTTTCTTTAAGGTGTCATTTACCTTGTTCGTCTACCCCCATTATTTCCTGTGAACTAGAGTTTAGGTTTAGGGATTTGACTTAGGCTCAGGTTAAACATTTGGGAGGCGAGACTTCTTCCTGACAATGAGGACGTCACACTAGTCACAGCGGGGCTGTCACATCAGAGGCCCTGCCCACCCCGAGTGATGGCAGGTGCGATGTGTGGTTAGGGTGGCGGCTGACAGGCTCCCGTTCTTCTGTTTGCAGTTAGTCAGTGACCGTGGGGTGTGCCTTGGCACTGTGTGTGAACGTCCTCTTCCCGGACACCGTGAGAACCCCACAGTCCTGAGGGTTTTAAGCATCCATGGATAACCGCTGCCTGAGACAGTTATCCCATCGGGATTGAAAAGTGGCAGTTTTCTAATTCTGTCATTCCTTCTACATGTATTAGTCGCAGCCATGTAAAAAGGAGTCGATTTTCTGTAAACCACGCTTGAACACGACACTGGTATTTTGTGGGGTGATCAGGTTGGCAGAACACCCGGATGGCCTTTTGTGTATTTTGGGAACAAGAAGTGGTAAATGTGGGTCCATCGATTCTTTTTTCCCCCCTAGTTCTGTTTCACAGGGAAATGCCGTACTGGGGCCGTCCCTGAGGGCGCCCCCTCCTGCTGAGTCAGCAGGCTTTCCCCCTGGATCTGGGCACAGCTTCCCTGGGTCCCCTGTGCCGTGTCAGGGAGGAAGGGGACTGCTGCCCAGCCCCACACTTGCAGGTGTTACCACTTGTTTCTTTGTGCACGTTTAGCAAGGCCAGACAGTTAAAATAAGTGTGGAATGGTCGTCATTTCAGCTCTCTTTTAAAGGGTCTTTAAAGCAGCATTAAACGTTTGGCCTTAAAAAACATAGCTCTGAGAAGCCCTCTGTGTCCCTGTGGTCATGGTCCCTCAGCTCTTTATCACGCGTGAAACCTGCTGAGACATGCAGGTTCTTGTTACAGATCTCATGCCCTTCACCAAGGAGAACAGCCTCTGAGTGAAGGCCAGTCCTGCATGGCTGTGCACAGTCCTCATTTACGGGCTGAAATGTTGCCAGCTTACAGGTGGGGAGCTGAGACTCGGGCGAGCACGTGGCTGGATTCGAACCCGTGCCGCTGACCACAGGGCCCTGTGCTGCTTGCACTAAACCTTGCTTCCGGGCCGGGAGAGGCTGGTGCTTCCCGGGGTCAGCGCCGTGAGCTGGGCTCGCTGTCCAGCGCAGATCCGAGCGGCCTGCTGTTGTCTCACTCAGCTCTCTTCAAAAACTGTGACCTGATGTGGAAGCAGAGCATGTGGACGTCCACCATCTCCAGCCACCTGGCCACCAAGCACCTCAAGGACGGAGGCCTCCTGACCTTGGCCGGCGCCAAGGCTGCCCTGGACGGGACCCCTGGTAAGCCTCCGTTCCCCGTCTGCGAGATGGGAATCTCCTTGTTCACTGGGCTGCGGGCACGTCGATGAGACGAGGCACGTTGAAGCCCTTTACCCTCTGGGGTGCTTTGGGTGGGTGGGCTTTGCTTCCCTTCGGCCTGAATCTTCGTAGGAGGACTCCTGATCCTTTTCCTTACATTGTCCTCAGTTCCTGGTGGTTAAGGAATGCTGTAATCTGGCACCCCCTCCCCCCGATGTGGTTTATTTATCCGTGACCCACCCAGGGAGTGAACGGTGGTGGCGTGGACGTGAATTCGTTAACAAACATGTACTGTCACCATTGCACCGTGTTCACCTGTCCCTGGGAGGCAGCTCGGCCACTGGAAATTGTGTAGGTTATGGAGCGAGAGAGGCTGGGGGTGGCTGCTTCCTCCTCGCTGTGTGGCCTTGAACACGGCACGTATCTGTTCGACCAGATCTCTGCTGTAGTTTCCGGCGTTGTAACTAGGGACGTAGTGGTATGTACCGGAGGAGCAGCTGTGTAGCACTAGGTATGACCGTGTGTGACGTGCCGGCACGTGGGGTCTTCTCAAAAGGCACTGCATTGCACACGCATCCTCGCTGCACGCTGGGGCGACGGCATCGCTGCTCTTTTTCAACTTATAAGTAAGGAAACTAAAACAGCGCAGTTAACTCACTTGCCTGGGTCTATGCAGTCCGTTGTGATCTTACTTTACATTATGTGCTTTTCCCACTATAGCAGGCAGATCCAAGTGCCCTGTACATTTTTTACTCCCTGTGTGGTTTGCTAGGGCTGCCGTAACAAAGTACCCCAGTGGCTTAAACAACAGACGTTTGTCTCATAATTCCAGAGGCTGGAGGTTCAGGATCAAGGTGTCAGCAGGGTCGATTTCTTGATTTCATCCAGGAGCCTCTTTCCTTGGCTTGTTGATGACTGTCTTCACGTGGACTCCCCTCTGTGCCTGTCTGTGTCCCCATCTCCCCTTCTTATGAGGACACCAGCCACACTACATTAGGACCCACCCTAATGACCTCATTTTAACTTAATTGCCTCTTTAATGACCCCATCTCCAAATACAGTCACACTCTGAGGACTTGAACATGAATTTTGGGGAGAGGTATAATTCAACCCATGATACTCCCTTTCAGATACGGTTAAGGAATTAAGGACTTTAGGTGGAGGTTTGGGGTTACAGCACAGAGGTAGAAAGTGTCCACCTCTACTACTAAGTTAAACTCTTCTTTAATAAGCAGGGGAGCTGTTTGTGGGCTCTTCAGTGTGCTGGAGAATGAGCTCCTTTTGCAGTTATAATGTAACTCACTGAACTCCGAGGCTCTTACAAATCAACAGTTTCTTGCTTCTTATTTTCTACTGTGTCTCAGAGCATATGATCTCACCAGTCTGAGGCTCTTAGAATCATTAAAGCTGTGTAAATGTCACATGTTGGTTCTGACTTTTATTAAAGGTGACGGAGAGCAGAGGCACTAGCAAGTAAACAGAAAAACGAGTAATAGGTTGACATTTAAAAAAGAAAATCCCAGGTCTGAAAGACTAATTTTTTCTGAAGGACAAAACAGTCTCTGACTTTTCTGTGGTTTGTAAATATCTGTTTGTTTATAATTTGGGGTACTGGTTATGACTGCAGACTCTGGGACTACACAGGTTGCGTTTCTTTTGTGATTTTGCCACTTACTGTGTGATATTTGGTAAGTTACTTAGCCTCGCTGAGCGTCAGTCTTGTCACCTGTAAAATGGGAAAAATAATTAAATCCTTTATGTGGCGGTGGTGACCTGCAAACATCTTAATGGATGTAAATGGCTTATAAGGGTATGACAGGGAGTCGCTAATGAATGTGAACTGGTATTGTTTACTCTAGGCTTACTTTTGCTCAGCTGCTCTTGCTTCATGTGTTCATGACTGTGTTCGCCTTGAAGTTCTGGGTTAGATATTGTTAAATTTATTTGAGTCGTGAAATCTTTCAACTTTGATTCAGACCCCAGAAAAATCTAGGGAAATCTATAATTTATTGAAAGTAAATAACAAAGAGGCTTAGTAGTCTTTCAAAACCAAGAAAAGTTGTTCACAAATGAAAAGATTTTTTTTTTTTCACCTGGAAAGATCCTGAGAAAACCCCCACCCTCTTATTTCCAAGATTATATTTGTAGATTACCTACTGGGGGATAAACTATTAAAATGCTAATAATCACTTTTGTTTTGCTGTGTTTAGAAATCAGTTTTGAGGGACTACCTTGATCATTTTATAATTAGGAAGAAATTATTTATCTTCTTATAAAAGACTTTTTTCCCCTCATTTCTTGCAAATGACCTCCTTCCCTGCATTGTATCGGGTTCTGTAGAATTAAACCATTAGAGTTGTGGGTTGCACAGATCCCTACACTTGTGTTGTTTGAATGGAGTGAAGACTGAGCCCTGGAGTTGGCTGGGGACAGGCCTGGATGAGTGGGATTCATACGGTGGTTTTTTAATCTCTGCAGAGTTTGTGTGATCTTTCTACCACTGTTGGCCCCCTGCCCTTGATTAAACAGCAAAGCTGAGGATGGCGAAATATTCTGCTTGGACTTCTGAATAATTGTTGGAGGCTTTGACCTGCCTTTGCAATTCAAGGTTGCTGTGGAGCTGACTGGTTCCTCAGCTGGGCTGTGATCCCGCCCCCCTCTGTACTTTTGATGCCTCCTCAGCTGTTATACTTCAAGGAGCATGCTTGCTGGGAGTTTTTAAAGAGGCTGCTGACTTCTGGAAGAAGTTTTGTGAAGGAGGAGAGGTGTTTACGGCATTTAGGGAGCATCCAAGCGGGGTGCTGTGGGGGACTGTAGAGCGGAGGGACCCTCTTTCTGCCACATGTCTGCAGAGCAGATGGAAACCTGTCCTGATAAAAGTCATGCCTTGCTTCAGTCAGCAAACACAGACATTCATCGGTGGGAGCAAAGGAAGACTAGTAGGTAGCTCTGTGTGCACAGGTCAGAATGGTTCACGCTCTACACAGGAGATGGGCTCTGGGGCGCATTACTTCTGTGCATTTGCTGGGAAACATTGAGTGCCTACTCTGTGCTGAGCCCAGAACTAAGTACTTCATCCCCATTTTGCAGATGGGGTGACTGAGGATTAGAAGGGCAATGAGAACTGGCTCAGGGTTTCTTTAGTGGGAAGTGGAAGAGCTGGGATGTGAACCTGGGCAGCCTGACTCCAAATGACAGCTCGATTTTCCTCACAAGCTATGAATGATTCAGGGGTTCAGAACCCAGCTCTTGCCTGGCCTTTTGCCTCTGGGGCGGCCTTGGTGCAGGTGCGTGTGTGAGCTTGGGCATGTCAGTCACCCTGTCTGAGCCTTGGTCTTCTCAACAATAAAAATAAAAATAGGCTCAACTTCATGACTTTTGTGACAAATGTCAGGTGATAGTAGGTGCACTTGAAACATTACGTACCTTCCATGTTCCCCCCCTAGATGTCTGTCCTTCTTGTCTTCCTGGCCTCCTCTGGACCCCTGGTGTGGCGGTCTTTGGACACACCAGCGGCGGCCAGGGGTCACCTGACCGTTTCCTCCCCATCTCCCAGGGATGATCGGCTACGGCATGGCCAAGGGCGCCGTCCACCAGCTGTGCCAGAGCCTCGCGGGGAAGAACAGCGGCATGCCGCCCGGCTCTGCGGCCATCGCGGTGCTCCCGTAAGTGCCTGGGACTCTGCCCACCTCTGCCTGGAGTCCACACGGCCTAGGGCCGCTTTCCCCCGGGGACTTTGTGTCACCTCAGCTCCTAAAATTCACCCTAGGCCCTGAAGAGCCTTCTTCAGGTGTTGCATGAGCTTGGTGCCCAGAGTGGTGGGCTGGCTGATGGATGGGTCTGTCTGTCTTGCCTCTTTCTTATTTTCTTTCCTTCGCTCCATTCGGCCCCCTCATTAAACACAGTCTACACATTTGATTTTAACACTTGTAGTTCTGTCTTTCCCACCCTTGTAAGGTCCCTGTGGAAGAGAGACTGTTTTGAGCAGTGGTTCTCAACCTGTGGGTCACGACCCCTTTGGGAGGTCGAACGACCCTTTCACAGAGGTCGCCTAAGGCCATCGGAAAACACGTATTTCCAATGGTCTTAGGAACCAAGACACCACTCCTCTGTCCGTCTCCAGGCAGGTCCACCCACATGCAGATACGCCCACATACATGAGGACCTGTATTAAAGGGTCGCAGCATTAGGGAGGTTGAGAACCACTGGTTTTGAGTCTTTGGATGGGGGTGGGGAGGAATCTGAAGAAGAATACGGGGACCTGGGAGATGGTCCTGTCTGCGATCGATCGGGGGGAGGTCCTCACTCAGGTGCACTGGGTGGGCAGCAGCTTTGGAGCCGAGTTCCTTCCTGCTGGAGAAGCTCAGGCACTGTCCAGCTTAGCTCTCGCCTACAGTCCCGTAAGGAAGCCGTTGGCACTGTGGTGGGACCGCACCGTCCAGGTCCCTTTCGTTTGTGAGCTCCTGGGGTCCTGTGACCTCATCCCACAGCTATTTGAGGGTTCCTGAGGTCTGACGTTCTCGGGGAAGTCGCACATAGCTGAATTCTGTTTTCCCGCTGAGAAGCCTGCGAGTTCAGCCGCAGCATGCAGGAGGCTAGGCTGTCCTTTCCCCGAGGCTAAAGGAACGTTGTCGCTAACACTTCAGAAATCCTCAGAAATGAGCCTGCCACGTTCAGGGAGCGAATGAAGACCTTACACAGCAAAGCTGGTTCCTTCCATAAAAGACTGTATTTTTAAAAAAGGCTAAATGTGGCTATGGAAAACAATATGGTGTTACCTCAAAAATTAAAAATTGAACTGCCATTTGACCCAGTGATCCCACTTCTGGGAATATACTCTAAGAAGCCTGAAACACCAATCAGAAAGAATATATGTACCCCCATGTTCATAGCAGCACTATGTACAATAGCTAAGATCTGGAAACAGCTCAAATGTCCATCATTAGACAAATGGATAAAAAAGCGGTGGTACATATACACAATGGAGTACTATGCAGCTATAAGAAAGAAAGATCTCTTATCCTTTGAGACAACCTGGGGGGACCTGAAAAGTATTATCCTCAGCGAAACAAGCCAAGCAGAGAGAGACAAGTATCATATGATCTCACTTATTTGTGGAATATAATGAACATAATAGACTGAGGAATGGGGTCGTCCCAGAGATGTGGAAGTAGGGTACAGACTGACAATCCCCAGAACAAGGGGTGGTGGGGGAGAGATAAACCATATAACTTATATGAATGTATGCATGAACAATGGACATGGACAACAAAGCTGGGGACAGGGTGGGGAGGGAGGTGGAGGGGGAATCCATGGGGGGGAAAGTGAGAAACATCTGTAACAAAAATAAATTAATTAATTTAAAAACATTCAATTAAAAATAAAAATGGCAAAATGTGGCTCTTTCATTTTGTTCCTCTCTACCTAATGGGTGAGTCACAAAACGCCTTATGGAATTATGCTTGGATGCGACCTTTGTACGTGCCCCGGCTTCTCTGTCATCATGTGGTCTCTGCACGTGAAACACTGCCACCCACGGTGCCAGAGGCTCATGGTGCATTTTCCTGGCCGAGGAGGCCGGGCAGTTATAAAGGGAGGCACAAATGACAGGCTTATCTCTGCACCCAGGATCACCCTGGATACCCCCATGAACAGGAAGTCAATGCCCGAGGCCGACTTCAGCTCCTGGACGCCCTTGGAGTTCCTTGTGGAGTGAGTATCACCGTAATGACATCAGTGACCAGGCAGCTCCCAGCCCCTTTCTCTGCCCCCGATGGGCCAGAGGACACGACCCTGTTCTCTTGGTTTAGCAGTGAGGATCGTCTTGGGAGCTCACTGGCCTCTGAGTGTACAGGGTACATCAGAGTGAATCTCATAGAGTGGGGGTGTCGGTGGTCTGGGAGAGCTGTCCCCCAGCTCTGCCCGACCCCCAGAGATGGGGTCATACACATCACAGCACTGCAGGGAGTTTTAGCAGCGCCCTGCCTTTTGAGCCTGTGTACCTTCCCTTGGCTTGTTCAACCCTCGGAGTGGAGCTCGAAAGGCTTGGCAGTTACACATCAGTTCTGGTCCAGAAGTTACTGCCCGGCACCCAGGACTGTCCCAGGAACTTCAGAGTGCTTTCCAAGGAAAGAGGGCCCAGAGTCCCAGCCGGGGACTGTTAAAGGGATGGTGTACTTAACACTCAAAGGAAATTTTTTTTTATCCTCACCCGAGGACATTTTTGCATTCATCTTCAGATGGAGCAACAGGGAGAGAGGGAAGAAGAGAGAGAGAGAGAGAAACATCAATGTGAGAGACACACATCAGCTGGCTGCCACCCACACGACCCAACCCGGGCTGGGGACAAACTGCGACTGAGGTACGTGCCCTTAGCAGGAACTGAACCCCGGTCTCTCTGGACCACGGGTTGACGCTCTAACTAATGAGCCAGACCGACCAGAGGTCAAAGGAAATGTTTTACAAAAGATCAGCTACTTGTTCAACCTTGTGAATTTCTTATACCTTTTCTTATTCTGTTTTCTTTGAGATGGTCTTCTTGACTCCCTCAGGCAGGGTTAGTTAATAAATGTCCCTGTTCTAGCATTTAATGTACTTTATTGTAATAGTCTGTTTTTTTGCATTTTTTCCCCATTGCTTGACAGAGCCGTGGGTGCTCCATCATTGTTTGCTAAAAAAAAAAAAAAAGAGAGAGAATGAGTTTCTTCTCCCTCTCCTTCCAATTTCTGGGAAGGAAATATAGCAGCGTATGAAGTATTGTGCACATATCTCTCTCTTATAATGAACTAATTCATTTTTTTATTACTTAAAATCATACCACTGTGTTATAACATATCCTAGCAATGCACAGAAAGACAAAAGTGAAAGTTAAAATCTCTCCAGCTCCTGTCACTGAGAAATTGGAACGAGTGACTTGCAGACATCACTGGGGACCTGGTCACGAGTCCGTGACTCCTTAGTGGCTTTAGCACAGTGGCTCCCAAGCCACTGATGTGACTATAAGCACGTGTCAGATTTTGGCTTTTAAAATGTAATGCTTTTCTCATTTGTTCTAGAACCTTCCAGGACTGGATCACAGAGAAAAACCGACCAAGCTCAGGGAGCCTCATCCAGGTGGTGACGACGGGAGGGAAGACGGAACTGACCCCGGCGTATTACTAGGCTTCCTGTCGGCGCCTGGGCGGGACCTGCCAGAAGAGTCTCCGCACCTCAGTGTCGCCGCGTCTGGCCCGTGTTCGCTGTGATCCTGTTTGTGGGACGAGACGGCGAGACCCGATTTTCTCTCACCTAATGTGCGTTTGCTTCCGTGAGACAGTGTGAAATGTTTGTGTGAAATAAAATGTGGGTGGAGGCCTACAGAGAGCCCCGTTGTCCATCTGTGTTGACCACCGGTTTGGGAGGTCTCTCCAGGGCCCTCTGGGTGGGCGTCAGGTGGACTTGCCTTTGATACTGTATCTGCCCCGGCACTGGTGGTCTCCACTAGTACGGAGATTTATCGGCACCGGGGACGCCGGGGGCCTGGGTTACTGTCGAGTGCTGTTTGTGTCACAGATGTAGTATAGCAGCGCTGAATTAAACTGCCTTAAAACCCCTCCCGTGGGGTAAGCGAAGTCCCGTGGACTCTGTCCGGTACCTTTTCCCTGTGTGGTCGGTCGCCAAGTGTTTGAGAGCCCACTCGTGACGACGTGGAGTTTATCTTCCTAATAAATGTGCCTCGGTGATTGTGCTGGCTCCTGTGATCGGCGTGTCCTACACACAGTTACAGACGAACGTGCCGCAGCGGGCTTCCGTCTGCTGCATTTGGAAGCGGATAGACTCAAACCCTGAAATAAGTATTTAAAAAAATTTTTTACTGTAGAGACAGAATGAGAGAGAGAGAAACGTTGATTTGTTGCTCCACATTTATGCATTCATTGGCTCCTGCTTGTTTGTGCCCTGACCGGGGATCAAACCCGAAACCTTGGCACACTGGGATGGCACTCTAACCAACCGGGCTACCCAGCCAGGACCTGAAAGACATTTCCACACAGTGACAGGCACGACTCTCCCTTGGGCGCGTCAGAATTGGGTGGCAGGGTGGCCCTGTGCACTCAGAAGCTGTCCTGTGACTGATCCAGGTTGTCCTCACTGGGGACGAGCGACCTGATCTCACCCTTATTTTACACTTGAGGAAACTGAGTCGACTTAGCACCCTCATTGCCAGTAAGTGGCAGAACTAAGCCCGGACCCTGGGCACCAGCTGGCTGCTGTTTATAAAGGCCTGTACCAGGTGTTTTCTTGATTAAAAAAAAAAATTATTGAGATAAAATTTACATAACACAAAAGTAATCACTTTAAAGTGAAAAGGGCAGTGGCATTTGGTATATTCATGATGTTCTGTCACCACCAACTCTGTCTAGTCCCAGACTGTTCATCATCCCAGAGTAAAACGCTGTACCCACTAGGCAGTGACTGCCCCTTCCCCTGCCTCCAGGCCCTGGCATCCAGTCTACTGAATTTGCCTGTTCTGGATATTTTATGTAGACGCAGTCATGCATTACGTGGTCTTCTGTGTCTGGCTTCTCTCACTTGGCATGTTTTTGAGGTTCATCCATATCATAGCAACTATTAGGAGTTCACTCCTTTTTATGGCTGAATAATATTCTATTGTTTGTATAGAGCAGTTGGTGTGTCATCCATCTATTGACAGACGTTTAGGTTGTGCCCGCCTTTGGCTGTTGGAGACAGTGCTGCTGTGGACTCTTGTGGACAAGGGTTTGAGGACCTGTTTTCAGTTCTTTTCTTATCCTCACCCGAGGACATTTTTGCATTTATCTTAAAATAGAGTGGGAAGGAGAGAGAGAGAAAAACATTGATGAGAGAGAGACATCGACTGGTTGCCACCCACACGACCCCAACCGGGGCTAGGGACGAACTGCAACCAAGGAACATGTCCTTAGCGGGAACCGAACCTGGGACTCTGGTCTGCAGGCTGATGCTCTAACCACAGGCAAAACCGGCCAGGGCATGTTTTCAGTTCTTGTGGATACATTCCTTGAGTGAGCTGCTCTATCATCTGTTGTTTCTGTGTTTATTTGAGGAGTCTTTCCTGATTCTTGACATTCATTCTTCAAGGTGACATGCAAATCTTCCAGGAGATAGGATGGGGGCTCAGAAAGTTAGGGCTGATTTGTCCCATCACCCGGTGCTGTGGTCTGAACGTGTGTGTCTCTCCAAATTCATAGGTTTGAACCCTAATGCCCAGTGTGATGGTATTGGGAGGTGAAGTCTTCGTGGGGTGAGCCCTACTGCTGACCTCTGGGAAGGGGGGAGAGGCTGGAGGGAGGTCAAGTCCACTGCCGGTGGCCAAAGACGGCCTTGATCACGCTTATGTAACGAAGCCTCCTTAAGACCAAAAGGATGGGTTCAGAGAGCTTCTGGATTGGTGAACAGAGAGGTGTTGGGAGGGTGGCGCCCTCACGGGGGGCAGGAAAGCTCCGTGGCTTCCCCTGTATTGGCCTGTGCATCTCTTCCAGTAGGCTGTTCCTGAGTTACATCCTTTTCTCATAAACTGGTGATCTAGGAAGTGGAATGTTTCTCTGAGTGCTGTGAGCCGCTCCAGCAAATTCATCAAACCCCAGGAGGGGTCGTGGAAAGCCCCGATCGAGAGCTGGTTGGTCAGAAGCACAGGTGACAGCCTGGACTTGTGATTGGCATCTGAGTGGAGTGCAAGGGTATGTTGTGGGGCTGGGCCCATAACCTGCGGGATGTGATGCTGTCGCCAGGTAGACAGTGTCAGACTTGAACTGTAGGCCACCCAGCTGGAGGTCGGAGAATTGCTTGGTGTGGGAAAACCCCACGTGTAACTGATGCCAGAACCCTTACCTGCCTCTCCTTTGCCCTCCCTGTTCCTTATCTTTGTGCCAGAAGGATGCTGAAGGCTGCATCCCACATGGTGCAAGCAGACAGGTGCTGTGTGCCGAGGGAGGACGCCTGGGCCGCAGGCTGCCCTCTGTCGTGGTCTTGCTCCTTCATGTGAGGTGAGACCTAGCAGTGGGTCCCACGCCTCTGCTTTTTGGGAAACAGCATAACTTCGGAATCAGTAAACTTGATACTGAATTCTCTTCATCCCTCACTGTATTCCAGCCTAACACACTTTCACCTGTTCCTACAGCGGTCTAGACAGTTTTTCTCTACTTCCAAGAGGCTCAGACGAGCTCCATGGATGTGTGGGCCACCTCGGAGAGTTGATAACGTGATGCTTCTTTGAGTGGATATGAAAAATACCTGTTGTGGAGAAATAGATTTTTGGGTAAACATTTTATGCAGGATGCTTTCTTTCTTTTTTTTACTAATTTATTTCCACGGGTAAAAGCAGACCCAATGTTTTGAAAATGCTTTGGCAACATCACTTGTTTGTACTGTTTATTCTGTATTCACGTTTTTCCTGTCTGACCTTCCAAACCAGACTTCTCGGGAGGCCCATGGAAGGGACCTCAGATCTTCATGGATGGTAGGCAGCAGAGAGGCAGGTGTGATCTGAGTCAGAACCTCAGCGCCTGGTGATGGTGGGCTCTTAGCTGCCTGTGACTCCAGGTGTAGAAAAGGAAAAAAAAAACAAAAACAACAACTCAGATGGGAGTTTATTTTTAATTGAATTGATTAAAAGGTTATAAGGGTTTCAAGTATACAGTTCTACAGTACATCATCTATACACTGTATTGTGTGTTTACCAGCCCAAGTCAGGTCTCCTTCCGTCACCATTGACCTCCCCTTTACCCTCTTCCACCTCCTCCCACCCCCTTTCCTCGGGTGATCACCATACTGTTGTCCGTGTCCGTGAGTCTTTCTGTTTTTCAGGTAGGAGTTTAAAGTCGGCTTGGTGGTGCTGTCAGCTGGGGGCTTAGCTGGCAGCGCGTTATTCCAGGGTGCTTCAGGGATCCTCCAAAATGGATGCCCCGGACCACTTCCTGGCTCCTTCAAAGACAGGTCCCACACTCCTAACCAAACAGCTTGCTATCAGAGATGAGTAAGTCCTGGAGATCCAATGCACAGCACAGTGACTAGTCAGCAACATTATTACATGCTTCAAAGTTGCTGAGAGTCCAGCTTAAGTGTGCTCACCATGAAGAAGAAACAGATGATAGTGTGGTGTGGTGGAGGTGTTAGCAACACTACAGTGGTAATCATGCTGCAGTCTACAAATGTATCTCATCAACACGCTACACAATGTTGTATGTCTGTTATATCTCAGGAAAGACCAAACAATAAAACAAACACCCACTTTGGGGTGCTCATTGCCTGTTTCACCCACAGGACGGTCAGCTTCCCGGAGGCATTAAGTAGCAGGGCTCCCCGAGACGCTGCTTCTGTCTTCTCTTTCCTCTAACTTGAGTCCTCAAAAGAACCATCCAGGGAGTTTATTAGAAACCGATCCTTGGAAGCTTCCCCAGTTGTGAATCAGTAGTTGTGGGGAGAAGCCACATACTGCTGGCTGACAGAGCACCGCAAATGTGGTGGCTTAAAGGAACAGTACTTAGTGCCTTTCACAGTTTCTGTGGGTCAGGAATTTGGGGGCTCTGGCTGAGGGTCTCTCATGAGCTTTCTGTCCAGTGTCAGCTGGGGCTGCGTTCATCTGAAGGCTTGACTGGGCGGGGCGTCCACTGTAGGCAGTTCGGGGCGGGAAGGACTGGGCGGGGCGTCCACTGTAGGCAGTTCGGGGCAGGAAGGACTGGGCGGGGCGTCCAGTGTCCAGACAGTTCGGGGCAGGAAGGCCTGGGCGGGGCGTCCAGTGTCCGGACAGTTCAGGGCAGGAAGGACATGCGGTATGGAGTCAGGTATATTCAGCCACAGATGCTGCTGGAATGGCAGAGTTTTAAGTGCTGGTTCTTTTGTGGATTGCTTCCCTCCTGGGTCCTCTGACCACAGCCTCTAGCCAGGAACCCTGAACATCATGGTTTTCTGGTTTGGCAGGTGTAACCTTCAGCTCCAAGTGTCCGTGGCTCCCATCTGTGCTGGGCCACTGTGTCCTCTGCCTCTCGCCTGGGCAGTGTTCCTTTCACGATGCCTCGAGGTTGGCTCCTTGCCACATGGCCCACACCTGGCCTGCGGGAAAACAAATCTTTGCCTCCTTTCCCGCCCCTTCTCTGAGAGTGAAGGGAAAGGGGAGATGTCCCAGCTCTCTAGTAGCTCTCCAGGATCTTGTCTCTCCTTTGTCACAGGCCATTGGTGGGTGTTCAGGACCCTGGTAATGGCTTCCCCTCTCTTCCCCATCTCTGCACAAATGATCGGACTCTCTGCTTGGGGATGTGCAGACTTGGTTCCTATCATGTTCTTTGCCTGTGGGCATCAGCAGAATAACGGACATATCAAGTCCTTTTGATCAAACTTTTGACTTTAAAGCTTCCCTAAGTACCAAATTCTGGTTCCTAGGAGCCTCTGGACCCTCCCCACTTCGGTGTCCCAGAGGTACCTCAAAGCTGGTACCCATCCCTCTGTAAGTCTGGTCCGCTGTAAGCACGTGCCACACGCTGGGAGCTTATAGACAACAGACGTTTGTTTCTTGCAGTTCTGGAGGCGGGAATTCCAAGACCAGGGTGCCAGCATGATGGGGGAG